TACACTACAATGAAATGCCACAGTATATTTTCATTTCTATAGAGATATGACTAATAATATTTATAATTAATTTCCCTCAACAAACCTACAGTGTATAGCCTCTATGCAAAATACCACAATTACTATTGCCTTAGTGTTAGACCATTGTAATGGAGGAAAAATATAAACAAGAGCTGTCTGAGGAACATTGCGCTCAACTTTTCTCAATGCTTAATATTAAACTGCACTTAGATTTAATGACCAATATTATGTTTTATTTAACAGATACCAGTGACTTTGACCCTTGACCTTTTGATCTAAAAATGGATGTGACAGGTGGATATTATCAAGGAGCAGCCACATAATAATAAAAAGTCTTAATGAAATTATGCTAATATCGAAGTAAATGACCATAAACAAAAACTTAATTTAAAAGGTTTACCACAAAAAGTTAACAAATGCCAACACCACAAGAGAGTCATGACAATAGCTTCACATTTTCTCAGAAAAGTAGAGCTAAAATCTAAATAAAGTAAAAAGAAATGCAATAATTCAACAGTCTAACATTAAGGCAATATGACGATATGAAAAGAAACATTTTTTCTCATTACATATTCCCATAAAAAAACATGGCATCTAAATGCAAATTACGCTTCTTGATGACAAATCAATACACAAGATGGTGTGACATGCAGATATTTACAATATGTGACACAATGTAAACTTCTGTATCATACAGTGTCTCGCTGATTTACTGCGACAAATACTGCACAGCTTTCTCATTTTACATGTAAACTCAATCAGTACAAATCAGGAGCAACATTCAATGACTGTCAGTCTACCTTTGTTATCAAAATGGTTCAATTACCATGCTAAATTGAAATAAATTTTCTTTTTCCTTTTTTCTGCTGGGGTTTTAATGCAAACCTACATTGTTAATGGTAATGTTTTATTACAGCGTTCCTTACCAACAGCAAAATTTCAGGCTAAAACGGGAATCCGAATAGAGCCAATAACAGGGCAGCAATAGCTCTATACTGGTAGAATAGACAAGAAAATTTCCAATGCAAACAGAAAAGGATTAAGCCAAACTTAAATAAGAGTGAAGTCATAAAGGGTAAAGTCATATGATGCCACAGGCTGGCTTCCAGGTTTAACCAATTAAAATGAGTTTCCAGTAGTTTTAAACACTATGAATAATGATCAAATGTTTGTTGTTGTTTTTTTTTGTCTATTTAGTTCAGATGGTTATAATCTAGGACTCTATTAAACATTTGGTGAACCATATATTTGAAAAAGGAAAAAAATCTAATGAGGAGCCAAAACTATCATTCTAGTACAAAAAAATAATTCACAGGAAATTTATTTACATTGCATCAATGAAAGACTGTACCATACAAAAGCTTTTTGTGTGAAAAGTTAACAATAATGCAACATGTAAAAAGAGGACATAATTTTGTTACAAGCATGAAATTTGTAAAATACTTCTCTAAAGTAAAAAAATTCTCTAAATTCAAATTGTAATCTCTATTATAATCTCTAATCTGAGAAGTTAACTTTAGAAGTTGTCTCCCCTTCTGAGCTCTCATCACTGGAAGACACATAACTGTCATGTAACTGTTCAAGTGATTCGAGTGGATCTACACTCGGACGTTTACCTTTTTTCTCTGGAGCTAAGTCTGAGTCACTAGAGCTAGAATCATTCTCCAAACTATGAACTGAGTGTTTGTCAATCTCCCCAACATGATTTACAGAAGTTCCATTAACACAGTTTTCATTTTCTGTTTTTGACTCATCTATATGTTTCCTATGATGCACTGGTTCTGAAGGTGATACTTCAGTTGTGGTTGCCATAGAGTCTCCAATCCCTGAATCAGCTGCACCATCCTTACCACACTCTGATAATCTTTGAGCAAATTTCAGGAATTCTTCATCTCTGTCAGAAAACTCTTCATCACTTGTTGCCATCTCTTCACTCTCATTGTCATTATCTGGTTTTCCTACATCAGATTCATTTGTGTCATTTGCAGATTCATCTGGTGCATTTGGACTTGACAAATCCCCGTCGTAACAAAGGTCAGGGGTAGCACCTGATTCAAATGTATCTGGTGTTCCAACTTCTGACTCTTTCTCCACTGCACTCTTATCATCACTGGATGAGCTAGAAGACTGATACGCCTCTGTTGTTATCTCTTCCACAGTTTCATGAAAGCTAACACGTTTTGGTTCTAATCTTTTCCTTCTTTCTTTAGCCTCAACACTGTCACTAGTTTCACCATGATAGCTATGTCTTTTATTTATATCAAGATCACTTTCATCACTGCTGACTTTAAACTCCCTATGACCTACAGAATTATATTCCATTAACCTACTTGGACTTGGACTTCTACGTATTATAGCATGCCTTGGAGATGATAATGATGATGCTGATAATTTACATTCCTGATCTTTTTGATAAACAAATGCACTAATGGGTTTATCTTCCATTTGAATGTCTTCAATGTCATGAGACAAAGAAACCATAATAACACTGTTACTTCGACTACTTAACAGAGATCTACTTGAACCAGAGCATGAAGCTGACCTAGTAGGACTATCTGAAGGTTTAAAAGTTGAAAAATCAGATTTTTCATAATTTCCATACTGCTTGTTCACTGTAGAGCCTGAAGCACAATAACCAGAATAAATATCTCTGTCTCTTTCAGAATTACCACCAAATTTGGTAGTTTCTAAAAGTAGTCTGTCTAATTCTTCAATTTCACTTTCTTCAACAGTCATTGGTTTTCTTTGTTTTGGAAACTCACGAGTGCCAGACCTTACATTACTTATTGATAAAAGAAGATCAGCTGGGTTAAGATCATCAGGACTTTTATCTTCATCATCTTTTAATTGCTGAAGCAAAGCCTCCCATTCATCATCAGCTTGAGTCTTTTTCCAAGATGATTTTTGAGGAATTTCTAATGGTTTAAGAATGGGTTTGGCACTTTTGATATGAGGTGATCTTACTTTCTCAGAACTAGCACTATTTAAGTCATCAAGATCAACTGATTCTTGTCTATATAAAGTATTATGCATGTTTGGTCTATTTCTTTCATGATGAACCTCAATTGCCGTTTCATTAAAACTACAAAGTCCATCTGTAACCATGATATCAGAATAAGGGCAAAACTTACTGTCATCTTCTTCATTAACAATTTCAGAATCATTAGAGTTAGTGTGAGTAATCTCTTCTTGTTTTTCTACTTTCATTTTATCACAAATATCATCTTTTTCTTTTGCATTATCACTTTGGTGTACAACATTTGACATTTGAAAACTACTCAATTGGTTTTCTGAAATATCATTTTCATCAAAAGCATCAATAAATGGTAAATCCAAATCTTCCAATTTGATCTTTTCTGATTTATGTTCACCACCATCAAAACTATCCATCTTTTCCATTTCATTTACAATATCATCTCTTGAAAGATTTATATCAGATAAAGAATAGCTTCCTTGAGAAGTCTCACTCTCGTTTATTGAAAATGAGCTATGTGTAAGAGACAAACTTCTAAGAGAGTCTGATTCACTTGTAGTCTGTGTTAATCCAAAACTTTCATCTACAGATAAATCAGTGACAGGAGATGGTTCAATATAACTTTCATTTACTAAATCCATGCTTTCAGATCTGGAACTTGGACTAGCAGCTCTGTGTTTTGTGAACTGTGTGAACACATCTACTTCTTCAGTCGGGCTTGCAGTGTCATCCACACTAGAATAGTTATCTTTTCTTGGAAGACTGTGAAAATTCACAACTTCAATCATTCTGTTTCCTGAAGGTGATCTTGATTGAGATGTCCTTGAATGACCTAACTTTGCTCTACGTGACCTTGCTTTATCTGCTTTATTAAGTTCAGAATCAGTGGGAGATTTACGTCCTGGAGATTTGGAAACTGTTCTTTTGGTTGGCAGGGACAATGATCTAGGTTGAAAAGGAATTTCATCTGCCTTTAATTGCTCTATTTGTAAATTGGGAGCACGCTTCATGCTTCTAGATCTTCTAGACCTAGCTTCAGTTGCACTTTTCTGATTATTAAGAGCATTAATCAAAGCTGTATAAAGCTCAGTCTCTTTCTTTCTTTCAAAATCACCAACAATATGCCTCCTATGTAAATAATAAGGAATATCTTCAAATAAATCTCCATTGTTTTCACCTGATTTATAAAGAGTTTCTGATCCATATTCATTTGATTCACCATTACCTAATTTTGACTCTACAGCAGCTAAAATACAAGAACTAGGCTCAATACCATTATCTTTTCCTAATCTAACATCACTCTTTTCATCTACATTTGTTTCAGTGTAACTTGCTTTCTCCTCTTCATTTTTGGCATTTTTTATATCTTGACCTGAAACTTGAGGGTCTGCACTTTCAACAATATCAATATCAATATTATCAATAATGTTTTTATATTCACTAACCCATTCACCAACCATTTTATCACCATCAACAATTGCCCTTTCTGGCATTTTCTTAACAGAAGTTATATTATTAGAATCTGGGATAACTTTATTGGCTTTAAGTTTGTTAGTTTTGGAGATGGAAAGCAAGGGCTCTACAACGTTTTCAACAATGCTATCTAACTCAGCACAACCTGCATTAGATATTGTTTGTAAGCAAGTTTCAATTTCAGCAATGTCTTCTACAGATAGATCTGAATGAATAGACTGATCTGAGGGGTCAAAACTTTGACCTTTCATATCACTTGGTAAGGAAACAGAATCTGAATGATCCATACTGGGGTATTTGAGATCACTTGAAAGAGATATGGAATTGGACTGCTCAATTTCAGCATCATAGCCTTCACTCAAGTACGAGTCTTGGGATTCGTTCCTGTCATTGTCATATGCATTTTGATTGGCTGACGGGCTAGACAAACTATTAGAGGTACCTACAACATTCATATAATTCTCATTGACCTCAACCTCATCTAGATTAGTGTTAATATTGAGTATGTTAGTAAAGTTATAACTACAGGCACCTTGTACTTCTGCTACATGCTGTGTCTGCTGCTGGGTTACTATGGCAACATCTCCTTGTTCCGCCTCCTCTCGTTCCATCACCGTGGGAGCATGGTGATGTGGTGTTCCTTCCTCCTGGCTAAGAGAGTGCTCCAACTTTGGAGAGTTCAGTGACCTGCTTCCAGACACTGAGCTCTCGCTGTGGATATCTGGTGCATCAGATACATTACCGTGTTGACGTGGTAGAGATGACTGGTCGAGGATATGTGATCCACTTGAAGCAGACGTATTATGAAGGTCAGCAGAATTGTGCATGGAAACTTTGGCAGGAATTTTTGGTGTGACACTGGAACTTCGACTAGAGATTCGTCCACTTACAGTTCTGAAAGTATAAGCAAGAACAACATGAATATTTTTTTTCATTAAAGATGAACATCAATTTCTTATATTAACTAACTTGCTTCTAGAAGAAGAAAAATATGGCAAAATTTCCTTATATTGTACATTTCTAAAAAAAATATTATAATCTCTTCATAGAATAACAAGCATTTATTTGACTTCTTAAAGTCCTATTCTCTATACCTGACTTCAAAAGACCAAAAACATATGCATGGATCATATTGATCCTACACTGACCTATATAACAAACCAAAGTTAAACAAATATGCCAAATTTTGCATGTTTATAATGGATGTAAAAAACCTTATACAAGATGAAAGCTAAAAGTTCTGAGATACCATGTCATACTAAAAATAGTCTTCAGTAAACTGGTTAAAGAGAATCTCAGGAGTTTTGCCAATCACAAAAAAGTAAGTGTCACCATAAAAACATAGATGGATATCTGAGAAATTTTTAATTTGTTGCTTGTGGCAGAAAATATCTGATTTTGCTTAAAATATTATGTAAAACTAGAAATGTGTCCATAGGACACGGGTGCCCCCACCGCGACACTGTTCTGTCAATCTTTTTACTAAGTCCAGGGAAATAACTCTACAAATACTGGATAAATCCACAAGCCAAACCCCAGGTGCAAATCTAAAATATGCTGAGCAACCTGCCCATAAGGTTTATTGACTATGTCAAATCCTTTTTGAGAAACTTGCGACACAAGTTGAAAATTGCAAAAATTTTCTACGTGAAGGGCAATAACTCTAAAAATACTAAATAAATCCAGACGAAAATACCTGGTGCACAACTGCACATGCTGATCAATATTCCTGTAAAGTTACATGACTCTACGTCAAATACTTTTTGAGTTATGTGCGACACATGTTGAAAATTGCCAAATTTTACTAAGTCAAGGGCAATAACTCTGAAAATACTAAAAATATCCAGACGAAAATACCCAGGTGCACAACTACACATGCTGATCAACATTCCTGTAAAGTTTCATGACTCTAGGTCAAATACTTTTTGAGTTATGTGCGACACAAGTTAAAAATTGCAAAATTTTACTAAGTCAAGGGCAATTACTCTAAAAATACTAAAAATATGCACACGAAAATACCCAGGTGCACAACTACACATGCTGATCAACATTCCTGTAAAGTTTCATGACTCTAGGTCAAATACTTTTTGAGTTACATGCGACACAAGTTGAAAATTGCAAAATTTTACTAAGTCAAGGGCAATAACTCTGAAAATACTAAAAATATCCAGACGAAAATACCCAGGTGCACAACTACACATGCTGATCAACATTCCTGTAAAGTTTCATGACTCTAGGTCAAATACTTTTTGAGTTACATGCGACACAAGTTGAAAATTGCCAAATTTTACTAAGTCAAGGGCAATAACTCTGAAAATACTAAAAATATCCAGACGAAAATACTCAGGTGCACAACTACACATGCTGATCAACATTCCTGTAAAGTTTCATGACTGTAGGTCAAATACTTTTGGAGTTACATGCGACACAAGTTGAAAATTGCAAAATTTTACTAAGTCAAGGGCAATAACTTCGAAAATACTAAAAATATCCAGACGAAAATACCCAGGTGCACAACTACACATGCTGATTAACATTCCTGTAAAGTTTCATGACTCTAGGTCAAATACTTTTTGAGTTACGTGCGACACAAAAGTGAACGGACGGACGGACGTAAGGACGGACGGAAGGACGGACGGACAGACGGACGGACGGAAGGACAAGGGTAAATCTAAATGCCCGCCACTAACGTGGGGGCACAAAAATCTATAATGATGTCATTTATATCAAAAATAACTCTTATCAGCTGTAATGCAGAATTCTAATTCTAGTTTTGTATGATATATAATAACTTAATAAGTTGGCCATATGGAGACTTTTTAACATGTTATACCTTCTCTTTTTGTTTTGGTTTGGTTTGGGTTTTACGTCGCACCAACACAAAAGAGGAAATATGGCGATATTCCAGATTTACTGTTGAAGCTAAACCTTAGGCTCAGGCGCATTCTGACAATCCCTTAACCCTCAGCCTGCTAAATATCTTAAATGTACTTGCCCATCTTTTAATATGGACTAAACCATTTCATTCTTTAATGGACAAAATTTCTCAGGAAAGGTTCAAAGTAAGTTCTGACAGAATTAAGAGAACACAGCATTTCATGATTGGATGAGCACAGACTTGCTGACTGATTCTAGGTCTGCACTGGCTGCATAGGTCCATTCAGTGTTTTTCAGTTGCAGCCAGCAGGGTAAAGGTAAAATTAACAATAAATAGTTCTAAATTCAGACCAAAGTGCAAACATATCATACAAATTTAGCAGGGGCAAAACAGTGCATAAATATGTATCACACAAATTCTATAGGGAACAGAGATTGCAAGTTCCTACAACTTCAAAAAGACTAAAAACTGCATTTGCTGTTTTAGGAGTTCTCTCTTGAGTGCTAGTTATTCTACATTAAAGTGTCTAAATTGAATTTTGTTCTACTGGAACCTTGTTTTTATCTTAGTTCTGGTTGCAGGCTGCAAAATCAAATTCTAGAAGAAATATTTCTTCAGCAAAAAAACTGATGTACAGGCTTTTAGCTCTATGCCCATTCAAACATGGAGCATTTCCATTGAAACATTGAACCTGGCTGCAAATCTAATTCAATTTCCTTTGAATACTACAAAGACATCTTACATAAATCTAAATTTATGAAACTTAAAGGGTATAAAGCAATATATCTGCTGCAAATTTTTTGTTTGAACTTTAAAAAAGAATACTTCCAGAAATTGTCTTTATGAACAGAATATTTCAGTGTAACATTTTCTGAAAACTGCATAGCTGTATGAAATCATTGCTTATCAGTTAAAATTCTACTAAAAACATCAGCATAATTTATTTTGTTCCCAAATATTTTATTCCGTTGTAACATAAAATATTCATTGTTGCAATATAAAATATTCATAAGTGTTAAAAAAATAAATTTAATGTTAAAACTCTTTTTCCAGATTCACCATGAGATTATGGAAACAATATTTACTGTTAATAAATTTTATACAAATATTTCATTATTAGATATAGCTTTACATCCCTGGTTAACTGTTCAAGAAAACTGATTTATCGTTCATTACAATTACTACATTATTGTTACTTTCATATTACATTACAGTCTATGACTATTTGATCAAAATAATGAGACTGAGAAAAAAAGCCAAAAGAATGATGATTGTTTTCACTACTTTTTGAAAAACAAACTTTTTTTGTTAGTTAACTCCAATTATTATATAAAACCAAATTTAAGCAACAAAAGCATACATTACAATGAAAACATGACAACATAAAATGACTTATACCAAAATAGCTGGATAAAAAAATTCTATTTACATCAACAGACAGATCGTGAATCACCCTAGATTATCATTATATAATCATCATTATAGACTTCTGATTTCCTCATACTATTCTGGCTAATAAATCAATGCACATTGCAAAGTCTCTCAAAAATATTCGCTACATTAAGACTTATTATTATGTTGTGTGCGTATGTTTCTGTTATTACTTTTCAGACATCCTAATGCTATTATTATATTTCATATATATAGCAACTTCCGTCATAATCCTATCAAAACGTACAAAATTCCACGTAGGAGAAAAAAAACGTCATTAGCATTCTGACCCCCGAGACATTGATCATTTCCTGTGTATGATGCAGATATGTTTCCAAGATTTTTTCTCGAGATATATTGATGTATCTAAGATCAAAGATCAAGCCAGATAAGGCTATTTTTCTGTATTTAAATACAGTGTTGTCACACAAAACAGCCATAATACAGTATCATTATTTACCCACAATGCAACAATGTTGTATTTTGTTATTGACAGTCTTCTGAGTTATGAAGGAACGGCAATGGACTTTCAATGTATTCTTAGTTAGAAATTTACTGTATCATCTGTGAGGTACTGAAGTACACTTGTTATCTTTATGGAGAAAATTGAGAAACATTGAAAGCCAGTAATGAATAATCAATTACCAAAGTATTACACAGCCATTGCTTTTGTTCCTTTTTTTAAGGTTTCAATTAACAAAGTGAACAAACAATTCATTTTACATAACCTGGTGAGGGAATTATTCACTTTACATTACCTTGTGAGGGAACAATTCAATTTACATAACCTAATGGGGGAATTATTCACTCTACATTATCTAGTGAGGGAATAATTCACTTTGCATTACCTAAGTGAGGGAATAATTCATTTTTCATTACCTAGTGAGGGAATAATTCACCTTTACATAACCAAGTGAGGGAATAATTCACTTAACAAATCCCTAGTGAGGGAATAATTCACTCTACATTACCTAGTGAGGGAATAATTCACTTTACATTACCTTGTAAGGGCACATCACACATAACCCTTCTGCTGAATTTCATAAATAGATTTGTTAAGTGTCAAGCTGCCATTTTTGAAACTGTCAATTTTTAACTTTTTTTTTTTAACCAAACTGAAAATTCAAAACAAGTCAGTCAACAGTAGAGCCTGGTCAGACTGCACTTATATGATTCTCACCATTATTGCATTAAGTGGGTAAACTAAAATACATTTACATTACACAAACAATTCCATGCTGGCCATGACCTTGATACAGGTGGCTGGACATGACCCTGATTAAGGTAGCTGGACATGACCTTGATACAGGTAGCTGGACATGACCTTGATATAGGTAGCTGGACATGACCTTGATACAGGTAGCTGGACGTGACCTTGATACAGGTAGCTGGACATGACCTTGATACAGGTAGCTGGACATGACCTTGATACAGGTAGCTGGACGTGACCTTGATACAGGTAGCTGGACGTGACCTTGATACAGGTAGCTGGACATGACCTTGATACAGGTAGCTGGACATGACCCTGATACAGGTAGCTGGACATGACCTTGATACAGGTAGCTGGACATGACCTTGATACAGGTAGCTGGACATGACCTTGATACAGGTAGCTGGACGTGACCTTGATACAGGTAGCTGGACGTGACCTTGATACAGGTAGCTGGACGTGACCTTGATACAGGTAGCTGGACGTGACCTTGATACAGGTAGCTGGACATGACCTTGATACAGGTAGCTGGACATGACCCTGATACAGGTAGCTGGACATGACCCTGATACAGGTAGCTGGACATGACCCTGATACAGGTAGCTGGACATGACCCTGATACAGGTAGCTGGACATGACCTTGATACAGGTAGCTGGACATGACCCTGATACAGGTAGCTGGACATGACCTTGATACAGGTAGCTGGACATGACCTTGATACAGGTAGCTGGACATGACCCTGATACAGGTAGCTGGACATGACCCTGATATAGGTAGCTGGACATGACCTTGATACAGGTAGCTGGACATGACCTTGATACAGGTAGCTGGACATGACCTTGATACAGGTAGCTGGACATGACCCTGATACAGGTAGCTGGACATGACCTTGATACAGGTAGCTGGACATGACCCTGATACAGGTAGCTGGACATGACCTTGATACAGGTAGCTGGACATGACCTTGATACAGGTAGCTGGACGTGACCTTGATACAGGTAGCTGGACGTGACCTTGATACAGGTAGCTGGACATGACCTTGATACAGGTAAGTCATATGCAACAACAGCTTTCATCACTGCCTTTGAAATTCAGAGCATTAGCTAGTCACAATCAGAATTGATTGTTAAGCAGTATCATGTAGATGTAGATAGATGTTAAAAATATACTGTAAAATTCATTATTATTCTAAGGCACTAATTTTTGTGGGGTTTTTTTTGTTGGAAATTTAAGTTCCAGCAAAATTTTATTTCATCTACTGTACAATTTTACCTTTATATCATTATTTGCAGACTTTATCTTCTTTTTTTTAATCACAAGCTAAAGAACTCACAAAAAATGGCTTGTTTTTACAAAATCCAGACACAAAAATGTTCCTTTTTCACAAAACCATGAAATTTCATGACCATGAAATAAAGTAAATTCACAGAAGATAAAATTACCAGGTGCTTAGGTGACATAACATGTTCAACTAAATCACCCAGTGCAATGTAAAACAAAAGTGCAAAGTTCAAATGTTTCAGACTTATGACTTCACAAACTGGATGTCAAATGGTCTGTAATTATGTCTTGAGTAAAGCATACTAAGGGTTGAAAAGAGCAAGAAGCGTTACACTCATTGGTACTGATTGATTCCAGGAACAGATTTGAGAGTTATGTCTATAAGCTCCAAGCTTCCTACACAATCAAACTAAAATAAATTCTGTATGAACCAAAATAGTTTCAGAACCATACAAAAACCACCATGCAAACCCACAATCACAACATTAATATCACATACAAATAAACTAAACAACGTGTGATCTAGAAAACATGTGTAAAATTATATCTAGAAAACATGTGTATATATAAACTTACATTCTGAAGTTTCCAAAATAAGTGTGTAAGAATATAAAACAAAATAATCAGGGAGTGAAATACTTAATACAATAATAGAAATGTTTCAGTTTTTCCAAACGCTTCTTTCAAACACTTCAAATAATTAAAATAATGGATGGGATCAATTTAGTCACTTCTCTTACTGAATATCAATTTTGAAAGAAAGGCTGAGAGGACACAATTTGTACTCCCTTCTGGACACAGGTGAGACACTGACCATGATTTATTATTCATTTATTTCATTTTATTCTATTTAAGGTCACAACAGAAACTTTGCAGGTAATAAAGTGACTTATCAGTTTAACAAGTGTCGGGTAACCTCAGGTGTGTCCATTAATTGGCAGTATTTCAGGTATAAGTTGTCTTTTGGATAGAACCATCAACCAATCATCAGCCAGCTGAATCTATAGCTGAATTACTATGTTATAATTCAAGTCTCTGACAGGGACTCAAACATACATGTACAGCATATAAATGGCAATCAATTTGAAGTCAGCGACCCAATTCTTTCAGCCTATTTATCATTTTATCTTGATTAAACACAGAAAAAATAACTTAATTCAGTGAGACAAATTATTATGAAGAGTTAAAACAGCAAACTCGACAAAATTTGCCCTTTATTAACAGACAAACCATAAAAGTGCATTTCTTATCAGGTTTCTTTTTCTGAAGACGTAATTATCTGACAAATTTAGAATAAGGCCGTAATCATGGGGGAAAAAAACCCAATTTAATCTTTTTTCAATATTATAGACATGATGCAATCATTTTCTTATTTCCATCTAGAGATACGAAAGGAAATAAGCTAACCAAATTTGCGTCTGTATCGTCATTTCAACAAAATTAGATTGTGAAAAACTTGTCTATATCAGAACATATTGTTGCCCATAATACAGCTAAATTTAAATGACATGACCATAGTGTGATGACAATTATAGCATTTGAAATGCCAAGCTTGATTGGTAATGTTGCTCTAGTTTTATTTAGGAACATTTTTTCAAGGGGTTTCAATATCAAAACTGAAAAGGCAAAAATCAGGCTACAGTATTTTAAACCTTGAATTTGCTGAATTTTCTTAATGGACTTGTCCAGATTCCAATAAACTGTTTCTCCACAAGTAACTACCAACTTCTCTAAGGCTATCTCTACTCAGATCACAGAGTCAATGTTATTTTAACATACTGTCACGTTATTGCAGAAACAGGTTAAAACTTTACTTCAAGTTCAAGCTGTTAAAAGAAAATAATACAGACACATATTTTTTCTTTTTTGGTTGTGTTTTACATTACACCAACACTGTAAAAGTCATATGGTGACTTTCAAGTTTTACTGGTGGAGGTAGACCTCTTTATGCATTATTTGGCACAAACAGGCACCCGAAACCCACCAATGTTAAATAAGCTAGCTGGATACCTTCACAAGAAAGAATTCAAAGTTCTTGTGGGATTTGAACCCACAGCCAAGTGGAGCAAATGGTTTGAAGTCAACAACATCACAATCATAATGTTGCCTTGATTTAATAATAACATAGTATTTATTTAACAAAAGGCTGTTTGACATTACCACTTTACTATCAATAACGTTTGAAAAAAACCTGTAAAACTTATTAGAAATTTCAATCTATTTCTATGTTCAGTAAAAACCTGATAAAAAAAGAAATCTTAAAAATGTGAAAGGTTATTAATTAAAGAAAGCACATAATTGGGTATATGTAAATACAATAAAATCTGTATAAAACATTGTTTTCATTCTTATAAGAAGCTACTTAACACAAATAACATTTGTTTGTACCTCAAAATGATGAAAGGTTTCGACCAGATTGAAACATGGACGAGTCCATGTAAAGTATTAAGGGTGGTTAAGTTTATTTAACGAAACAAAGCAAGATAAGTATTTGTTTTCCGTTGGAAAGAAAATTTGAGAAAGGGTGTTTATTACAGATTTTGATGTAATGTGATTTTAAAAAGAAAAGGATGTTTTAAAATAGAAATGAAACAAAAGAATGCATACCTCTCAAATTGTGGACGCTTCCCGCTAAAACTTTCCCTGATGAATTCAGAGAGCTGTTTCTGGGTTCTACCACTATACCTATAGTGAATGAAAGAAATTAAATCATTATCATAAATTAAATTAATCAATCATTCATTCTATATTGTAACATCTACAAAAGGTTTGAAAACATTTTACTATTTTCATAAAATCAAGTTTTATCTTCAACAACCTTGACTCCACCGTTTTAACAACTAACCTCCCTAATGCATTCCCTAGTTATTGATATGACAAGCCAACCAACATTCAAAAAGTCAAATGGACATGTTAAAAAAATTATACCCCCAATTCTTCAATTTGCATCATTTTATAGCTTGTCTATTGGCATGGGTGTCAAACTTTGGATTAGTGTTTGCATGCAAGTCGGTATCTCTGTAACTACTGAAGGTTGTGGGTTGAAATTTCACACACTTATTTGAGAGCATTATAAGAGGTCACTGTATAAGGCCCATAACTTCAACATGAACTTTTACAAAATTATGGCACTTTTTCAATTTAGAAAATCCTATATTATCCAGGCTCATGTTTTACTATAAAGCACTGAGTATAGTCAAGCACACTGTCCTACAGACAAATGGATGTTACAGTTTTCAAACAGAGCCAAAGCAGGACTCATTCTTAATTAGGGATAATAAAATTCCAGAAAAAAAAACAAGACTTAGTGTTAAGTTAATAAAGAATTTTTCTATGCACGAACTCATATCTCAGACATTGGTTGGCCAAAAACCAGCACAGATTTATATTGACCAATGAAAATCCTGAGATTCAAGACTGATCTCGGAAAAAGGCTATTTAAACTAAAGGCCAGCTGATTTGATGAGTTTGCCACTTTCTTGAATGGCTTCAAATGACAGAATAGCAATAGGCTACAAAAATTCAATATGATTTTATACTATTGATTTTTGTGAAATCATTCACTTACATGTAAAAGGATATTGACTTTCACATTAATTTTTTCTGACAAAAAGTCACAAGTTGAAAAACCCTTAATTGAGCAGTCAAATATTTGAAGAAAATCTGCCATTTACATTTTCTCAACAGCAGAAGACAATCTCTGTAGAAAACCACTGATATCTATAGACTTATGGATCTGCTATTTTCACAGCATATAAATCAATTTCATGTCAAGTGGCAAACGTCCCTAAACATCATGGCTAATTTTGGAACTGCTATATCAAACATAATCTGTCCAGACTTTTCACTATATATTTTCTACTGAAAGTTAGAATCCTGTCATTATAATGCAAAAGAACCATCAAAATAATAACAAGAACATAATTTACAGCCACAAATACTCCCTAACAAAGCTGAGAGGAAGCTATTTAAAGATTGTCAAAGTACGAAAAAAGCAGATTTTTTTCTCTCTATGACCTTAAACTCCTTTCAACTTTGCTTCTTTTCCCCCTCAGAACTACATTTGTATTTTCTTCAGGTGATAAGCATCTAACATGCTCTAAAACCACTATATAAACATTATAAAACTCATGCTTGGCCTTTCTAAAGGAAAAAAACAACATATTTTTGAAGCTTAATGGACCATTAAATAACATCTATATACAAGGAAAAATTGAACAAATTTATTTTAGCATCAGTGACCTTGACCCCCATCAACCTTAATCTCCATCAAAAGGTAAAGGTCAAAGCAATAATGCTGAATCGGAGGCAAGCAAAAATTATAAGATCATACCTAAAAGAGGACCCTCTGCTTACGACTCGTGTTTTGTTTCTAGGGAGCTTCTTCACACGTTGACAACGGAAGAAGCCGTGATGCTCTATACACTTCTTCCAGAATGTTTTACACTCGTCACGGGAATCAAAGAAAAACTCCACCAAATCTTTGTAATAACCCTGAAAAGTCAGAAAATTGTGAGGCATACATTTCTTTGTAAAATCAGTATTAAAGTGGCATTATTCCAATCCAAGTATAAACACTGGTACCCAGGTAAATGTCAAAATAACTTTACATTTTGACATAATTGGTCTTTTTTTATTTCATTCTCTACTTCACATGCATAATAAATAACTCATGTGACACTAAAAAAATCCTAAAAATATCTTTCAGAAAGTTTTGGTAACATTCAACTTATAATAAGAGTTGGGCAGTCTTTTATATTTATTGAAGTTTTTGTATTTTATCCTAAAGTTGTTTTTTTTTGGTTTTTTTTTAAATTATAAATTTTTGGTCAATGACCATTAAAATAGCCAGCCTTTTGAAATAAATTGCTCATTATGCTCAACTTGACTGAGAATAAATGAGCATAATGTCATTCTAATAAACAAAAATTCAGTTCATCTGGACATATAAATTGACCAAAATAAAGAAAATTCAGTGAACTAATATTAAGATATTTTGGGAAAAAATGTAGGAAATCATTAAAGTGAAATATTTCAGAGGTTGTGAAGATCAATTTTGCATGTACACAATTATATAGTGAAATCAACTGCATTCATAAATAGCTTAACCTTTATGTTTAACATGTATCAACTATTAGACTGTAGTCAATCTAATCTACAAAATATTATAAAATATTCTCAACATCTAGCTAAGTAATGAGGCTAAATGTGCCTTTAAGAATGCTACAAATCATTAAAAAAGAATCAGGGAAAATGTTTAAACAAGGAAAAATAATGGTAGCAAGTAGTTATGATCATGGCACGAGAAACTTACATAATTTTCAGGATGTAACTTGATGAGAAGCCGTTTCCGCTTGAAGCTAAGTTTTCGGATTTTCGCCCATGAGAATGTGTTGATCTTGGTGAGACCTTGGAACACCAGAATACCTGAATGTGATATCGCTAGGTTCAGCGAAACATTTTCATGGTCCTGAAATATGATAAACGATTTCCTGTTAAAATGTCTGAAATGTATTAAAGATTTTCTATATCAAGCTCAATTTTCTAAATGCTACATTCGTAGCTGACTTTTGTATGTCATCAATGCAGAGCAAGTTTTTGTTTGTATTGTTGGATATTAAGTTAACACTGTAAAGGCTTACACCACTCAGGCAAGCATTTCACTAACTTGTGCAAAACGTAACTTAGCGTCAGTTGTGTTTTACTGAGGCGAAAGTAGCATAATTTTATGTCACTAAAAGGTTTACGGTAACCAACTCTTTAATAGAAAGTAATAATCTTTACCAGATGTTTACAAATAATTAGAAGGAAAATTGTCGTTTTTTAAAAATAGCTTCAAGAAATACATGTATTCATTAAATCAACTTTTGTATAGTTCATGTTTATAATATATACAAGATATGATTTTTATATTAAAAGTGGAATAAGTACATTCTTTTTTTCTTCCTACAAAATGTTTTCTAATACCAAAATGAGTGTTTGTCTCCTTTGCATGACTGTTGTTAATTACAGATTGAAGTGGTGCACTGATGGAAGTACTTATGTTTAATGATAAGTATTGATATAATGAATTGTATGAATGTTACATATATGTTTTGAGTATATATGTTTACACTGTGATTACCATTTAATCATTTCTTAAACAACTTATATTTTCCTCAATTAATATGATTTAATTTAGAAAGCTGCATTGTAAGTAAGATGTTGCAAATTTGTATGTCTTAATGTGTTACCCTCTGTAAATACAGTTGTTGTTGTTGTTGTTTATTATTATTATTATTGTTATCATCATTATTGTACAGCAACTTCCCAGCTTTATTGTTGGAGAAAGACCTCGGGTGCCCCTTCCTGCATTATTTCAGGTAAGTCACCCAAGTAGAAACACCAACATTTTGTAAGGTATCTAGACTAAGCTGCATTACATGAAAGAATCCAGTGTTGGGATTCCAACACTTTGGTAAGGATTAAATTTAGCAGTTATGATGCTGAAAACCCTTTCAGTAACAATTGGCAGATTTAAATATTCACAGAAAAATCTTGCTACGCAACCTTGGTGCTGATAAAGGGAGTAATGGGGTCTGGGACATGTTCCCAACCTCAAGCCATTTAATTAAATTCTTGACATTTTGAGGACAATTTGTTATTAAACTCTCTTATTTCATACAAGAAACGACTATTTTCTCATCAAATCTTCCACGTTTGATGACAAACTGATATATCAAAATCTATATATCTGAAAAACAAGGGCATAAAATTTCCCAAGGAAAAAGAAAAAAAACACACTACATCTTTCCACATCGGATGATTTCACATATAAAATATGGCAAAAGTTAATCATGTGTACATGCCTCTTCATGGTATCAGACAATTTGGCTTTCAATAAATGCACTGTTGTGTATTAGCTTTCAAGCCAGATATAATGAAAATCAAATCACACAGAAGAGTTAATGGTATGAAAGTTACATGGTCTAGTTGAACCAATTTTAGTTGCACTTTTGCATCAAACATTTCCACCACAATTTGATTGTTATGCTATGACAGGGTGTTCTCGGCAAATTTTGAGGTTCAAATAAAAAGATATAGGAAAATGCAATGATATCTTGGTAAACACTCGGAATTTCAAGATGTCCACTCTTACATTAGACTTACTAACATTAAAACATTTATGTATTTTTTGGATGCGCCCTTTTTTGTAGGGAAAAAAGAAACCAACGTACAAATGTTCTATTGTTTTTGGGGTTTTTTTTGGGTCCATGCTTATGGAAAAAATCTATGTTTGTGATTCAGATCATTCACTCACTCCCTTTTCCAGAATATTAATATGGAATGACCGAAATATTCAAAGTGTTTAAATGCTTTTAGTTTAAAAATTTAACTTTAATTTAGTTCCGAGCATATTTCTTAATTATTGCTCACATATTTTTCTGCTTTAAATTCCCCATCTGAAATAAGTATCTTGTTTTTACGCTACTAGACAATAGTTGTCCCTCACAACTCACACATTATTACATTTGTTATATATATATATCGTTTCATCTTCTTCACAGCAAAACAGAAAATGGTCATCAATGGAACAGAGGGTTCAAAGCCATTGGCGTGTACAGCAGACAATAAAATTACCCATTTCATAACAATTTTACAGGCCATCGTCTGGCAATATATAAATATCTCTTATGGTGTAATTGAAAACCTAATATTTATGACGCCTTGTAAAGTGTAATAGCAACTGGTGTTTTCACACCTTGTTCTCTCATCAATAATGAATTCAACACCAGTTCATTCTTATCAATTGTCTGGGTTTATCATCTGTCTTGTAATGGCAGGGTTTTTCCTTGTTTTGTTTTTTTCTTTCAGAACAATGGGCACTAGATGTAAGGTAAATTTGCGACCTTCTTCTGGTAAAGGACCACACCCTTGGCTTTCATGCATCATTTTCATGCCTGGGCAGTCATAATGTTGAACAACAACAAAAATTTAATGCCCATGATGGCGTCATCAGATGGGAACAATTATTGTTCTAAACATGTGGCAATCATTATATTTCTTCAATAGTTTTCAAACAATAACCGTTTGATTGTTTGTTTCTTTGGTTTTACGGCACACCAAATACAATCTAGGTCATATGGTGCCAAAACAGGAAAAGTGATTTTGGCTAACCTCGGATGTTATACACTTAAAGCAACACCAGTGGTCAAAAACAGTTGGAATTGTCTCTAAAACTGAGGAAGCAAATTAAATATCATGTAAAATCTCATACAACATATTTACAGACTGTGCGGGTGTTTTTTTGTCACATAATTGTTGCATTATAACTGAACAACAAACTAGTAATTAATTAACTAACTCATTAAGAAATTAACAAATCACTATTAACACCGTATTATTTTTGAATCAGAGAGACAAATGTCTATTATACTAAAATATTCACGACTGACTGTCATAGAGTATAATGTCATGAATCTTACATCGGCTGCCAGTACAGACTGGAATATCTAGCTCGAGGGTTACTGTTTAAGACGGTAACGAGGCTCTGCCGAGTTTCCGCTAAACAGTTTCCTGAGAGCTAGATATTTCCGTCTGTACTGACAGCCAGTGTTTGATTCTTTTTCTTGCATATTATATATCAATTATTATCATAAACAAGATATGTTTGTAAAACATGTATGCCCCCTATCAGCAGCCAATTAGTCATGTGATAAGGTTATTATGACTTCTGACCCAGTTATCAAACAATTAATAAGGGTTATCAAGTATCTACTGGTCATGACCTTAACCTTTGACCCCTTGACCCAAAACTCAATAGGGGTCATCTGCTGGTCACGACCAATCATCATACAAAGTTTGAAGTTCATAGGCCTAAGCGTTTTTAATTAATTGATCGGAAACCGTTTTAACATACAAGGTCAATGTGACCTTTGACCCCTTGACCCCAAAATCAATAGGTCATCTGCTGGTCATGACCAATCACCATACCATGTTTGAAGTTCCTAGGCCAAAGGGTTCTTAAGTTACTGATTTGAAAGCATTTTTACCTACAAGGTCAAAGTGACCTTGCCCTTTAACCCCTTAACCCAATATAAATAGGGGTCATCTACTGGTCATGACCAATAATCATACCAAGTTTGAAGTTCCTAGGCCTAAGGGTTCTTTAGTTATTGAATCGGAAACCGTTTTTACCTAAGAGGTCAATGTGACCTTGACCTTTGACCCCTTGACCCCAAAATCAATAGGGGTCATCTACTGATCATGACCAATCACCATATCAAGTTTGAAGTCCCTAGGCCTAAGGGTTCTTTCGTTATTGATCGGAAACCGTTTTTACCTACAAAGTCAATTTGACCTTGACACTTTGACCCCTTAACCCCAAAATCAATAGGGGTCATCTGCTGGTGCATGACCAATCACCATACCAAGTTTGAAGTTCCTAGGCCTAAGGGTTCTTTCGTTATTGATCGGAAATCGTTTTTACCTACAAGGTCAATGTGACCTTGACCTTTGACCCCTTAACCCCAAAATCAATAGGGGTCATCTGCTGGTCATGACCAATTACCATATACCAAGTTCGAAGTTCCTAGGCCTAAGGGTTCTTTTGTTATTGATCAGAAACCGTTTTTACCCAAGAGGTCAATGTGACCTTGACCTTTGACCCCTTGACCCTAAAAATCAATAGGGGTCATCTACTGATCATGACCAATCACCATACCAAGTTTGAAGTCCTAGGCCTTAAAGTTCTTTAGTTATTGATCGGAAACCGTTATTGCTTACAAGGTCCAATGTGACCTTGACCTTTGACCCCTTGACCCAAAATCAATAGGGTCATCTACTGATCATGACCAATCACCATACCAAGTTTGAAGTTCCTAGGCCTTAAAGTTCTTTAGTTATTGATCGGAAACCGTTTTTGCTTACAAGGTCAATGTGACCTTGATCTTTGACCCCTTGACCCCAAAATCAATAGGGATCATCTACTGATCATGACCAATCACCATATCAAGTTTGAAGTTCCTAGGCTTTAAGGTTCTTTAGTTATTGATCGGAAATGTTTTTGCTTACAAGGTCAATGTGACCTTGACCTTAGACCCCTTGACTCCAAAATCAATAGGGATCATCTACTGATCATGACCAATCACCATATTCAAGTTTTGGAAGTTCCTAGGCCTTAAGGTTCTTTAGTTATTGATCGGAAACCGTTTTTGCTTACAAGGTCAATGTGACCTTGACCTTTGACCACTTGACCCCAAAATCAATAGGGGTCATCTACTGGTCATGACCAATCACCATACCAAGTTTGAAGTTCCTAGGCCTAAGGGTTCTTTAGTTATCACTCGGAAACCATTTGGTCTACGGACCGACGGACCAACGGACCGACAAGTGCAAAGCAATATACCCCCTTTTCTTCGAAATGGGGGCATAATTACGAAAACTGATATTCTCATTACGCACTTTTTTCTTATAGTAGCGTATGAATTTACAACTTCATTCTTAACGGCACATTGACGTCACCCTAAGAACGCAATTCATTCATAAAAGGCTGGTGGCAATGACGTAATTAAAAGCACGCGACTTGTCTTACATGAAAGTGTAAGACTAGATTTTCTAGCACCAGTGTAAACGGTAGATAATCCTGTCTGATATGCAAGAAAAATTTTGTTTCACACAATGCTCAAACCAGCTACCCTGGCATTGCAAGTCTTTCCCGAACAAGCTGACTTGGAGGACATCCATGTATATGTGAATGTACAATGGTATTGACAGTATTATATGCTTTTATAATATCATATATTATCATATACTTTTATGATGTATTACAGATCTGATTCTTTCCCAAACAAGCTGAGTATATAATGCAGACCACTATGTAGGTGTATCATATATTTGTTTTGATTATATTACATTTTTTAATATCAATCTACCTTTTCAGGAGGAATAAACGGCAATAACAGATAAATGCTTGCGGTTTCGATTCGACTCGACCAATTTTACAATAATTAATTCTTGCCAATTTTAACATAGAACTGAACGGCCAGTATTAAACATTTATTTCTTTATCATAAATCTACACAGAGATCTTTCAGCAATATACCACCTATGGTCATATATTTTGTTACAAGAATGAAACTTTTTAATCAACAGATAATATCTCCTTAACGCCTTAACAAAAACCCAAAGCTTTTTCAAGAAATGAAGGTTTTATAACAATAATGTGAATGTCAGAGATGTATTGAACAAGACACTCTCTGTAGGAAAATAGATTATGTTAAGACGTTTGAAAACCAGTGAATTACTGTCTTTGATTAAAGGGTAGACTGTAAACAGCTACTTCATAAAAATAGAGTTACAGATGGGAATGATTTACAGTGTTTCAAACTGGTATCTCCTATAACAATCCATTGTATAATATTTTTCCAACTGGAAAATGATAAACAAGCAGGGAAAAGTATGGCTATTTGATTACAAATATAGAGACATAATGAAAACAGTAACTGTTTTCATTTTACAATAATTGAATATAATTCTGATATCTTTTGTAACATTTGAAATGTATTTGTTCCTTAAATTAGTTTTCTGAACTGAGTTCCCATAATGGTTTCCAGTGAGGACTTTAATGAAACACACATTATATTACACGGAAATATAAATATGTGATCAAAAATGCATAATATTGTTGTCTCAATACTTCAGACAATTTGTGCAAAAATACTTCAGAAAATGGGTAAAGCACCAAACTTGGTATAAATAAACTTGAACTGCATGGCCGAGTGGTTAACACTTTAGACGGTTGTTGACCGCATGGGATCAAACACTGTCCGGGGCAAGAAATTGTTTCCTTGAGCAAGAAACTTTACATTCATAGCTTAGTAGTGGTTGGTTCCAGGAATGGATTTAAGAGTGTTTAACTTAGCTCATAGCTTTCAACACAAACTAAAACGAAAAACATAAGATGGCCGCCACATAATATGAAAGTCTTACCTTAGCAGGTACCATCCTTATCCCATATAGCTCCACCTTTCTAGCTGTGTCTAGCAAGTTCATATCAGCTTCTGCTGGGTTCTCTCCCCTGAAAATAAATATAGATATTGATATAATGCTGAATTGTCTCCCCTACAATATAAACTGAAAGGACTCTAATGCTGAGGTTATCTTCCCTGCAATTAATAATAGATATACTGATGAAATGGCTGGTTCTCTCCCCTGCAAAAGACACATTCATATACAGTAGAACTTTAGTAAGTTGAAGTTGAAGGGAATTGCGTAAAAACTTTGACACATCAGGACTTCGACTCATGAATCAGTCTCATTTTAATGACAAAATTTTGTACTTTTACAAGAAAAATACGAAAGGTGTAACAAAAGGAAAGGGCAATTAACTAAACCAGGTTACATTTAATATATCCTGTGTGATTATCACGAGACACCAGGTCACGGAAGTTCTCAAAATTTTAATGAAAGTAGTTTTTACTATTTACTTTCAAATAATTTATGGCAATTTGAATGGTAACAATTAAAGCATTTTATCACACATTAAAAAACATATACAAATACTGTTAGAATACATGGCTGTGCAATTAACACCTGGCAAACAGATTGAACGGAAATAATCTGCACAGCCAAAAAATGTGCGAAAAAATGTCTCTAGAGATCGAATGTATCAAAATGTATCAAAATAATCGAAGGACTTCAATTTATTTGTGGTAAATTGTACTTGATTTATTCTATACGGACCACAAAAAAATCTTAACACATTGAAAAATTTCCACTCGTATACACGTTTTTATAAGGAATATATAGGGGAAAAGATAGGGATTTTCATTTTACTTCTACATATTGAGAAAATCAAATAATCAAAGTTAGTCTCATAGAAGTTCTTCTGTATTTTTGATCCCCTCCCCTACAAGAATTATTAATATATATGATAACAAGAGGGCCATGATGGCCCTGAAGTCGCTCACCTGTATATAGGCCCCCCGGAGCGGGGCCAGTTTAAACCCCAGGGCTTTTATTTTAACAAACTTGGTAGACACCCATTAGAAGATGTTTCATGCTAAACATCTAAGGTCTAGCTCAATGGGTTTTTTAAAAGAAGATTTTTTTAAGTTTTTTCTTTACACATAATAGTTAAAAACAATTACACACCTGGGACAGGGCCAGTTTTGACTCCAGGGCTTTTATTTGAACAAACTTGGTAGACATTTACTAGAAAATGTTTCATGCTTAATATCTAAACTCTAGCTATTTGATTTTTTTCAAAGAAGATTTTTAAGTTTTTGCTATACACATATAAGGAAAATCAATGACCCCCCAGGGCGGGGCCAATTTTGACCCCAGGGCTCTTATTTGAACAAACTTGGTAGACATCCATTATAACATGTTTCATGCTAAATATCTTAGCTCTAGCTCTTTGGATTCTTTAAAGGAAGTTTTTTTAAGTTTTTACTATCGGGTATATGCATATAGGGAAAATCAATGACCCCCTGGGGGCGGAGCCAATTTTGACCCCAGAGCTTTTATTTGAACAAACTTGGTAGACACCTATTAGAAGATGTTTCATGCTAAATATCTTAGCTCTAGCTCTTTGGGTTCTTTAAAAGAAGATTTTTTAAGTTTTTACTATATGCATATAGGGAAAATCAATGACCCCCTGGGGTGGGGCCAATTTTGACCCCAGGGCTTTTATTTGAACAAACTTGGTAGACACTCACTAGAAGATGTTTCATGCAAAATATCTAAGCTCTAGCTCTTGGGGATTTTTAGAAAAAGATTTTAAAGTTTTTTCTTTTGGTTGCCATGGCAACCAGAGTTCTGCATGGAATTAAATTCTTTGAACAGTTTTCAAAGGTGACCACAAAAAGAAAATTTCCTGTGAAGTTTGGGTGAAATTGGCTTAGTGGTTTATGAGGAGATGTCATTTAAAGTAAAAGTTTACGGACGACGGACGGACGACGGACAATAAGTGATCACAAAAGCTCACCCTGTCACTTTGTGACAGGTGAGCTAAAAAATGCAAAGTTATCTCCCCTTCAAAATTGCTACCGAACATAATACAATTTTTATCTTTAATCTATTTCAATTTTTATAATTCAATCATGTCAAAATAGTTAATTTTTTCCTCCAAAAATGAAAAAAAAGGTTACATCATAATCTTCTTTCAAATATTTAACCCAAAATTTCAAGATTATCCAATTGCAACAGATTTAACATTGCATTTAATCTCTTTATTTCAAAAGTGCAAAAATAAAACAAAAACAAATTGAAATGAAACACATAATCAATTACATCTAGCAATGAATTCTGACGCAATTACTTGTGAAAACGGTTCATACTCCCAAAGCTGTCACATATTTTGTCATTTCTAAAACATTATAAAAAAGGAATAAAATCTTTTCCCATCTTTATCAAAGATATTAAATAAGAGCTTAAAACTTGATCACGAAAACCATATCTGTGAAATATAAATAAAAATTCTCCACATATTATCCAATGTACTTTTTTCAGATGAAAATTTCAGGGTAAAATTACAAAATTAATGATACGGGACAAGTTTTCTATTTTCAGTAATTTAATTTAAGAAAAGACACACAGATCTTCTCATGTAACAGGTTCTATGTTAAAAATAACCAAGTTAATAATAGAAATTATAGATCAAAATTTTAAACTGAATAATTCTCCAAGATGAGAAAATTTATATTTGTTATTTTTCCCCAATTGGTTGCTATGGCTACCAATGTAAGAAGGGTTATTGAAGATATCCAAAGTTTACAGTTCAATATATTGTTTTTTCCACTTTAAATTTAATTTCTTGAGTTTTATTAATGTTTTAAAAACTCTTGTCATTTTTTTACTTTTAAAAATTGATGCTGCATGCCAATTTAACCCAAGAATTTTTCAAGTTAAAAAAGCCCATAATTCTCTCAAAATCCATGCAAGAGTTATGGGTCTTGGGCAGGGCTCTCATATTATGACTTCAGTAGTTCTGAAGATTTTTGTTGCATGCAAAATTTAAAACTTCAAAAAGGGCCACATTTCTGTCAAAATCCATACTAGAGTTATGGGCCTTGGAAAGTGACCTCCAATTATGATCCCGAAGACTTGCATTAAGTTTCAAGTCAATTATCATTAGTAGTTTTTGAAAGATTGATGTTGCATACAAAACTTTTACCAAGAATTTTTTTCTTACTTCAAAAGGGCAATCATTCTGCTAGAGTTAAGGGCCTTGGAAAGTGATCTCCTTTTATGCTCTCAACTAAATGTGCAAATATGAAGTGGTTGATAAGATATCATGTTGCATGCAAAACTTTAACTAAAGCGATATACCGACACCAAATAGATGCCCAGGTGCATATAAAAGCTCTACTATTCTTTAAAAAGTCAAGATAAAAATTATTTAGCTTGTAAAAACTTTACCTAGTGTTATAATGAAAAACACAGGGATAAGCTATTTATAAGCCCCTTTTTTGTAAGGTACATGTATTTCAACTGCTCCTTTTTTTGTTTTTTGTTTTGTTGGGTTATAAGTCACACTAACACTGTTAAGGTCATATTGCCAGTTTCCAGATTTACTGGTGTAGGGAGACCTCATTCCTTGCAGTTTTTTAGGTACAAATGAGCACCTGAGTAGAACAACTGACACTCCATAAGCTGGCTGAATAAAGCTTCCACACATGCAAGAATTCAAAGTCTGTAGCCAGATTTGAACCAACAACAGTGAAGCCTGATATGTTTGAAGTCAACCCCTATTCCTGGAATAGTCAAGCCTTAGACTGTAGTGTATAGTGTGTAATTATAATACAACATGTCAGCCACAGATGCCCCTATTCCTGGAATAGTCGAGCTGAATATTTATAGCCATTGTACTGTAGTGATATGTCTTATTATAATACAACATACTGCTTTACATGTGTCATAATAATGGTATATTTCTATAAAATATAAATACCAAACACATTCATACTCGACAAATAATGCAAATTTGACATTTATTTTCTAGTCTGTGTGATGAATCTATATATTACACACAATATAACTTCTGGATTTTACTACTATACAATCTCACATCATTTATGAACTAACTTTATCCTAAAACATCAAAATTTCTGCCAATAGGCTGCCAATAATTTTCTTTGTTTCTTATTTGCCCCCGCCTGTGCCAATTTATGTCTTATAACAAGAACATACTGTTCAATTTTAACTTCCTATCATTTTACACAACCTAACGGACATCGCTGACAAATTTGCCAAATAAAAACCTACTTCATTCTGGTAAGCATGCTCAACTATTCTCGGTGCTTGATAGTAATATAAGGGGCCTGTATACTGTATAATTTTCTCAGTCCTAAAAGGCCCATAATTCTCTCAATATCCAAGGTAAACTTATGGACCTTGGATAGTGACCTCTTATTATGCTCTTAAATAAGTATGTTAAGTTTAAACCCATTCCCTTAGGGCCCAGTTACACAGACGGTCGGTCCCCAATCGGTCATTTAATTTTAAATTTACTCGCTGTTATGATCGGTTGTCATGCGTGATTTTATGTCTGGTTTTCTGTGTAAACGGCCATCGGTGACAGAAAGCAAACTCAAACGGGAATGGGTCGATGATTAAATGCTATAATACTTTTGGTTTTTATCGTTTGTAAATCGGAGCTAAATCGGGCGTAACGCTGATTAATCGGTGTTTGATAGCTAGTCATCAGTGGTTAAACACTTTTCGTCACTGGCCGGTGATTCATATGTGGTTATCTTTGTCAGATCGGCGATATCTGTGATTAAGAGCTTGCATATCTCATGATATAGGTTGCCGTCGGTTATTTTTAAAATATTTTCACCAATCAAGAATTTTAAACGTGTTTAAAAATCCCAATCGGTAATTTTTCACCGATGAAACTTATCTTTCCCCAATAGCAGTTGATAGGTGGAAAACAGGTGACCAATAGGTGATATCGGTGTTAAATACGTTGTCATCTGTTCACTCCATAATTTGGCTAAAAAAACTACCGATCAATCACCGATGGCTCTGTGTAACTGGGGTGTTACATAGTTTTGGAGACACCAACTTGCACTCAAAAACATAACTGAACATAAAATTAGGACAAGCAATCACTAACAGCCTAGATCACAAACACACTACCTAGTGAACTAGCATAAACTTATCATAAATTGTAAGAAGAATACATACACATGTTGTTTGTGATATTCCATGATTTTTTTCTCTATCTCCTCCGTCTGGTTGGGGATATAGCGTAAATTGTTGGCACGGAGATAAGTGTGATCTGCATATTCTTCAATAGGGAAATCCCCTACTTCAGCTGAAAATATACCCATTTTTACTTTATATAACCGTAGCTGAAACACTGCATGTTTGTAACATCAATTTTCATTGGATAATCACAACATAGATATAATATATATCATAAACAAGGCTGCTGTCAATTTACAAAATAAAAATCATTTTTTATTTTTCTTAAAAGGAATTTTTCTGTTTCATAAATAAAATGAGTGTAAAGATTCTGACATGTTCTATGGCCATTTTGAACCTCTTGCAATATTATCAAAACCCTAGCCACAATACAAGCTTTAAACCTTTACCTCATTTATACGCGAAACAATGCACTTTCGACCCCCCCCCCCCCCTTTTTAGGCCTGAAATAGTGAAAAAATGTCCTATTTGGGCCTGAAACACATATTGTCATTTGAGAAATGTTGCTACAAAAAGTGAGCACTTTTTTGGCTCCGTCCCCCATCCAAGAAAATTTTGGACTTGTGAGAGGCTAAAAATGACCCCAGGTCGATCATAAGGTAACGTGTAACCAGCGCTGAAAAGCCTTTGACTCTATCTCAATCCCTTGAGAAGTTGCAGCACTTTGAAATAAATTTTGATGGAAAAAATCGAGGCAAAATAGTGATTTTTGGCAATTTTGAGATGTCCCCTCGTTGCCATGGTAACAGGAAATGTAAGACTGAGCATGTCGTTACAAAGGCAATGGTCCAGTCAACATTTGTGCCAAGTTTGATTAGTATTGAAGCATTTTTCATAGTTTCATAGCAGTTTGAACTTGTAACAGGAGGCTTTTCAGTGAAAACGGCCATTTTTCACAATATGCTCATGAGGGAAAGGGTTAAACTATTTATTTTTATCATTAGTTATACAACTTGCTGATGGGTTATATAGGAGAAATAGCTTGAATGAGATAAATATTAACCAAGATGCTAGCCAATCAGAAGTCCTGAAATTTATTTGCATTATTAGAATGGGCCTGTCAAATTCTTTTCATATTTAAAAATTTTACTGATCTTGTCCAATTATAAGTAAAATTAATTTAACACAATTAGTAATCAGAATTTATTCCACTGAGTATTCTACATGTCCTTAAAAGTGTGTGGCCACATCCCTTTTTTCTCCTTTTCAATTTTTTTTTTTTGAAAGAACTAATTTACACTGATGAAATTGATCTTAAAGTATATATTTCACAGTTATTGCCCTTTCCTTTTGTTTTGCTATTTGTAAGTCCCTTGAAAACATCAACAACTCCAAATTGTGTCCCTAAATTGAGGCTATGATATGAGTCAAAGTTCTCATGTTTTGAAAGTTTTTGCACAAGTCCCTTCAACTTTGACATATCAAAGGTCTACTGTACAGATACATAACAGATAAAGTAAAAATGCAAAAAATAACACCTCACATTTTTTTCCCCCGTGGGTTGGGTTTTCAAGTCACTATGACCATGTTATGGTAATTTTGTGACTTCTCACCTGTGTTTGTTCAGAATAACAAGCGCTACCTTGTGTTTCAGGCACATCAGGCACCTGGGTAACTACAAACTAGACATATATCTTTCTGTGAAGAACTAATCTTGCTTTTTCTCTATAGCAACCATGAAAGTAATGATTTGTTACCTTGAGCAATATATGATGCAAGAAGAGCCATTGTGTTATCACTACAAGTCAGTGACCCAGTCACCAAATCTTTCTTTATCTGTAGAGCATACAAATACCTGAAATAATAAAATATATTGTAAGTTAATTGGTACTAAGGGAGATCACTCTCATAAATGCTAGAAGTATTCTTGGAAATTTGACTATTACCTATATTAATACTATACAGTTTAATTCAATTGGTATCAAGGGCTATCACTCCTACTAGATGCTAAATATATCTATTTCTGGGGAAAATGCAGACCTAAAATAATGTATATATTATTAATATCATATATACACAGCTTTATCCAAGGGACATTACTCTTACCAGATGTTAAAAATATCTATTCTTGGAAAACACATAAATGCCTGAAATAATACTTAATTGGTAACAAGGGAAATCACTCTTACCAGATACCAACTACATCTCTATATGTATCTTTAATACAATTATGAGTTACAAAGACCTAGTATATAATAGTATATAATATGGTAATTAGCATAATCCAAGGGAAATCAATCTTACCAAGACAGATTTTGAGGTGTTTTTTTTTCAATTCTTGTTGTAATTGATTACAAAGATTTAAACCTGCATTATCTGAGTAACAAGTAATTGTTTCAAGTTTTAATTAGCATCTAATCTGCAGCACAAAATAAATTATGCTGGTTTTGCTTCAGTAATAATTTCCTTTGCGTCATTGCTGTACACAAATGGGCCAAGGAAATTTTAAGAAAACTGGATACAAGGTTTGAAAGAAATTTTCTTAGCTGAATATTTGATAGGTCAAAAAACAGTACAGAATGTATACTGACCAATGAAAATCCTGAGATTCTTGTCAGAACTCAGAAAAAAATTCTAATCTTGAAGCCTGGTTCTCTTATAGAAGTTTGCTTAGTTAGAAGCATATATTGAGGGCTGATTGCAAAACTGTAAAGTGTTGTAAGTCCTTTATTTCATGAAAGTTACTGCAGTTTTGTGGTCAACCCACAATATGTTAAATGAACATAGGGTCCTGTTAAAATAAACATACTGGGAATTCTTGCTGGGTAATCGTAATCATTTGAACAAACTGGGTAATTTTGATGTTTTGGACAATTTGGGTAATCTTAATATTTCGAAAAATTTACTGGGTAATCTTAATGATTTGAACATACCGGGTAATCTTAATGATTTGAACATACTGGGTAATCTACATGATTTGAACATACTGGGTAATCTACATAATTTGAAAATACTGGAGTAATCTTAATGATTTGAACATACTGGGTATTATTAATGATTTGAACATACTGGGTAATCTTAATGATTTGAACATACTGGGTAATCTTAATGATTTGAACATACTGGGGTACTCTTAATGATTTGAACACACTGGGTATTCTTAATGATTTGAACATACTGGGTAATCTTAATAATTTGAACATCCTAGGTAATCTTAATGATTTGAACAAACTGGGGTAATCTTAATGATTTGAATATACTGGGTAACCTTAATAATTTGAACATACTGTGAGTACATTAGTAATCTTGATTATAATTTACTGGGTTTTTAATTTTTGGAATGGGTACATGTTTTTGTTCCAATTTTAAATATTTCAGAATCATGTTTGAACATAAATGTAATATATGAAATTTTAACCCAACCTATGAACAATAAGGGAGATTTTTCAAAAAATATGCTAGCATCTCTAAAGTTCAACACTGGGGAGAAGAAGCTATACAGCCAGACTTTTGCAATATCAATGTCTTATTTTTATTGTGTTCTAATGCTATTACTTTTTATTACTTTATGTAATTATGTTTTATTCAAGCTTCACTGTAACAGATTATATCATGAATAAAACATAAGCCAAATATCATATCCTTTTAAAAACTTTCACTTGAGATACAAGTGCATTCAACTTTATTTTTTAAAACAACAACCACAGAACAGATTGTTTTTTAAATTGAATTAAAATTCAACAAAATTCAATTGAATATAACCAAATTCAATTATATCTAAGTGGCTGTTTTTTTTTCTATGAGCTTAACATTATAAATGTATGAGATTAGCCTACAAATATAGACAGTCCAGTCTGCAAATACATCCAGTATAACTTGGCTCTATACCACTAAAAGCTCAATGTTTATATTTCAATGCTGAAATCCCTTAAACATTGAATAGGTCAAAAATTACATCATAAGACCACATTGCATGAATATAATATGAAAATTCTCACCTACTGAAATCATTTTTAAGCTAAACTTTCACTTAGATTATGGGCATACTTGTAACTCGTCTATGACCTAAGATAAAGAAATTTAACAAGAGGGCCATGATGGCCCTGAGGTCGCTCACCTGTATATAGGCCCCCCCACCCCCCCCCCCCCCCAACATTGCAGGACCAATTTAACCCAAGGGCTTTTATTTGCACAAACTTGGTTGACACCCATAAGAAGATGTTTCATGCTAAACATCTAAGCTCTAGCTCATTGGGCTTTTTAAAAGAAGATTTTTTTAAAGTTTTTGCTATACACATATAGTTAAAAACAAATGACAACCCCTGGGGCCGGGCCAGTTTTTGACCCCAGGGCTTTTATTTTGAACAAACTTTGTAGACACTTACTAGAAGATGTTGCATGCTTAATATCTAAACTCTAGCTATTTGGGTTTTTTTCAAAGAAGATTTTAAGTTTTTTGCTATACACATATAAAGAAAATCAATGACCCCCGGGGCGGGGCCAATTTTGACCCAAAGGCTTTTATTTGAACAAACTTGGTAGACAACCTATTAGAACATGTTTTGATGCTAAATATCTTAGCCATAGCTCTTTGAGTTCTTTAAAAGAAGATTTTTAAGTTTTTACTATATGCATATAGGGAAAATCAATGACCCCCCGGGGCGGGGCCAATTTTGACCCCAGGGCTTTTTATTTGAACAAACTTGGTAGACACCTATTAGAACATGTTTGATGCTAAATATCTTAGCCATAGCTCTTTGAGTTCTTTAAAAAGAAGATTTTTTTTAAGTTTTTACTATATGCATATAGGGAAAATCAATGACCCCCGGGCGGGGGCCAATTTTGACCCCAGGGCTTTTATTTGAAACAAACTTGGTAGACACCCATTAGAAACATGTTTCATGCTAAATATCTTAGCTCTAGCTCTTTGGTTCTTTAAAAGAAGATTTTTTAAGTTTTTACTATATGCATATAGGGGAAAAATCAATGACCCCGGGGGCGGGGCCAATTTTTGACCCCAGGGCTTTTATTTGAAAAAACTTGGTAAGACACTCACTAGAAGATGTTTCATGCCAAATATCTAAGCTCTAAAGCTCTTATGGTTTTTTTAAAAGAAGATATTTAAAGTTTTTTCTTTCGCATGGGAGTTCTGCATGGAAATTGAATTCTTTTGGAACAATTTTTAAAAAGTGACCACCAAAGGAACACTCCTGTGAAGTTTGGATGAAATTGGCTCAGTGGTTTATGAGGAGATGTCATTTAAGTTAAAAGTTTAACGGACGGACGGACGGACCGACGGAGACGGACGGACGGACGCCGGACGAAAAGCGATCACAAAAGCTCACCCTGTCACTTTGTGACAGGTGAGCTAAAACTCCTTACTTTCACATTACTCCATGCTCTTCAACATACAACTATAGACATACTAAGGTCAGTTTCAAGGTCACAGACCATTGACTAAGATATTACAATACTGACCTGGTTAACTCATCTTCCAGCAGTGCAGGGTCTGGAGTATAAAACTTTACAAGAAACTTCAAAGGTGTGTCTGCACTTGGTAACTGTTTTAATATAGCTTTATCTCTGTCCAACCAGTTCTGTAATATATCATACATTTTTATCATTAATATATTATTGATAACTATATTATATTCTTACATAAAACTCATACATGCAGGTATACATTAACAGAGAAAAAAGAACCTGCATAAACGAATAAAATCATGTAAATAACATAACATCAGTTAGTGTTCATATCAATCAGTGTTCACATCAATTAGAGTTCATAATGTTAAATAACATGAATTAGAGTTCATAATGTTAAATAACATCAATTCGTGTTCGTAATGGTAAATAGTATCAAATAGTGTTCATTATGTCAAAAAACATAAATTAGTGTTCATAACATTAAATATCATCAATAAGTGTTCACATTACTTTGTGTTCATAATGTCAAAAAACATAACATCAAATTCAATTAGTGTTCACTATGTACATTAACTTCTATTAGAGTTCATAATATTAAATAACATGAATTAGTGTTCATAATGTTAAATAACATTTATAAATGTTCATAATGGTAAATAACATCTAATTGTGTTCATAATGTTAATTAATAACGTCTATTACTGTTCACTAAAACTCTGCGGGTCAGATGTGTCGCCTTGTGAACGATATAGTTTAGGAGAAATGGCCAGGACAAAAATGAAATATGAAAATTAACAAAGGGCAATAACTCAAAAAATAAGAAATGCAGAGTACCACTTCTTGTTCACTGCACTTCTTCTTAATAAGATCTATCATCCTATGAAGTTTCATGTCCATAGCTTTTATACTTTAGGAGAAATGGCCCGGACAAAAATAAAGTATGAAAATTAACAAAGGGCAGTAACTCAAAAAATAGGAAATGCAGAGTACCACTTCTTGTGCACTGCACTTCTTCTTAATGAGATCTATCATCCTATAAAGTTTCAAGTCCATAACTTTTATACTTTAGGAGAAATGGCCTGGACAAAAATAAAGTATGAAAATTAACAAAGGGCAATAACTCAAAAAAAATAAGAAGTGCAGAGCACTGGTTCTTGTGCACTGCACTTCTTCTAAATAAGATCTATCATCCTATGAAGTTTCAAGTCCATAGCTTTTATACATTAGGAGAAATGGCCTGGAGAAAAATAAAGTATGAAAATTAACAAAGGGCAATAACTCAAAAATTAAGAAGTGCAGAGTGCCGGTTCTTGTGCACTGCACTTCGGGTCAAAAAATATAACAATTAGTGTTTATAACAATCATTGTATATACAAAAGGCATCTGCCAATACAATGTGTCACATTTAAATATCAACAATTATGTTGTTTTTACTGATTAAAACATATTAATTTGCTTCTTTTTTCATTTTTTAACAAGAATTGACATTAGATAATCACCTGAATACCCCTGCTGTCTTCATATTCTAGATCAAAGTAGTCTGATTCTACCAAACTTAGATGCTTGGTCACAGCGTCCCAAAGTGCTTGACCAAATCCCTTGATCTGAAACATATACATAGATATTTATAATAGAAGTATTGGACACTAGGTTATTGGACAGTGTAATATTGGCCTTAAGGTTATATATTGGTCAAAAGATATTCCATTAAGTACCATAGCCTTAAAGGGTATACAGCAACTGACCTCTGGATTACTGACAATAAAATTATATTGACGTCTAGTTTATATCTCCAAGAAAGAGAAATATTTGTCTGGGTTATCGTTCAAAGAAATTATCAAGAATAATATTGGCCGTAAAAATATTGGTCCAAGTCCAATCTTGAGTATGATCTAAAATGATGCTTGATTAAGTTACAGCTGAGTAATTTCTACTTGACTGGAATTTAATAGTTTATTGTCTTTTTGGTTGGGTTTTTCATCGCATCAACACAGTATAGCTAGGTCATATGGTGGCTTTACTGGTGGAGGAACACCTTAGATGGCTTCCATGCATTGTTTTAGACACAAACGGGCACCGGAGTAGAACAACCGATGTTCCATAAGCTAGCTGGATAGCTTCCTCAAATGAAAGAATCCCAAATCGCTATTGGGATTTGAACCCACAGCAGTGAGAGGAAAGTGTTTGTAGACATCTCAACCACCCAGATTTTCATACAAATACAATATTCTAACAGAAAAGCAATAACAAACTTATTTCTGTATAAAAAGGGGCTCTATGAAAAAAAAATGTAAGTGCATAAACTCTGAAACAGTAGGTTCTGGATAGTTTCATTCAGGAACCATATAAATCAAGGGTTAAATGCAAAACAGTAGAAGCTTGTATGAAATAAATGAACTTGAAACAGTTTTACGTCAACTCTCGAATATTTCATAGGTTATATATATTAAACAGACTGATATGCTTCTGGTAGTCTAAACTACAATAATTCTTGTATCATAGTTTGGGTACCTTTCTGTTGAAAAAGTGTCAGAGTTAAATCGTATACATATACATGCACAGTGCGGTAACTGGAGTGCGGGTATCAGTTACCCGCACTCCAGATAATGCCCGTGGATTGGTTCATTTTTGCCGGGGTTTACATATTGTGACGGCAGAGAAAGGGAAAGGGGCAGAGCTATCATATTCAAATGCTCGTTCATTGGTTATTTTTTTCTGGGGTTTCATACTATGACAACAGGGAACGTGTTGTCATGTTTGACTATGATACAAAAGAGAAAGAACACCAAAACACTCGGCAATCTGATTTATACTCGGGGGCTACGCCCCCTCGTACAAATCAGATAGCCTCGTGTTTCGGTGCTCTTTCTATTACTAATAGCCACAGATTGCAATTTGATGAACAAGCCTATGACATAGACAAAACAGTTTACAACTTCCCAAAATCATGTAAACAAGTGGGTGAAGAAAAAAACAGCCAATTTATTGGATACGTAAATGCGGTAATTCCTACTTTACATGGCAACGAAAAACGACAAGTCGACAACTATGTACAATCAATACTTAAAAGTCTGAAAACTCGAGCTATAACGTGAGTTGCTACTGCTTTTATTGGACCAGACAATGCAATAATATTTCGAGCAATTGGGGGGAATACATCATGAAAACTGGACTATGAGCGGATTGCTCACATCCATTTGTTGATTACAGAAGAAAAATGATCCAGCTTACAGGGGGGAGAAAAAAAACAACAGAAAACCTCATTATCTTAAATGACAGGCTGTCTATAATTTGTCATATTTTCGTGGAAAGAAAACATGCTGTGAATAATTCAAGAACATTTAGCATGTCTATTGACATGTCTTCATTAGTGAAGAACATACACAATTACAGATTTAGATACCATTACTGTTACAGAAAACCTGGATAAAACATGGTTTATCATTTATTAAATCAAAGTTTTTACAATTTATCCTCTGCGGAGCAACAGTTTACTCCTTTGGAAGACAAAAACTTTGGTTATTGCCAAAAGGTGTTGCTGACTTGAAAGGTTAAGGTTAAATTTATTGTAAAGTTTTACTTAGGAAAGAAATGATACTGTTAATTTGTAGAGATTTGAAAATAAATTTATTGCTTAGGTTAACTTGGGAATGATACCATTGATTATTTACAGAGATAATTGCTCAACAAAGGGCCACTCTGCTAAGAATGCACCGTATAATCTATCTTTAACAATAAAACAAACCGAAAATCTTCATCATCAGGTTCCATTTAAAGGAACTCCACTGAGGTAAACTCAAAACATAAAATTTGATTTTTTACATAGATTAGCAGGGGCACTTAATACTGGAAAGATGTCCAAACAATAAGTTGAAAGTATACTCAGAAAAAAATAAAAATCTTACTTTTGTGCAGAGAAAAGTGTTGCAAAGCTTTTCAATTTTTGCTCATTTTTTCACAACTAAAATAATTATTCTGGAAAAACAGAGTGAGCGAATGATCTGAAATTTTGCACACAATTTATTGGTCTAGATTTATATCAAATTAAACATTAATCTCATAAAAATATTTCCAGTCCTGCCATGTCAAAAGACCTCAGTGGAGTCCCTTTAATGTGATATAGTCTGCACTCTCAGCTTAGGATTGATAATGCATATTATAATGATTATAATCTTAACACTAACTTGGACTACTTTCAGATATATATTTAATATGGTAAAGGTTAACTAACAATGCACAATAAAATTATGTGTACATTCTTACAAGTTCTGACAATAAAACATATGTCTAAACTTCCAATGCTTTCTTATTGTCTAATTCTCCCTCTTCTAGAATTTCTCATCCTCAGTTAATTGGTCTACTACAGTAATGTTGTGTACAGAAACACCTGATCTCATATAATAGTGACAACAAAAACACATTACTGACACCTTATGTATCTATTTATCAAATAAATATATAATTCTGAGCAGAAAAATTGACAGTTAATGTGGTGTCTGTTACTACCAATAGATTATTATTGTAAACTAATAGGGTAATTTATTTTGTATCATATTAAATAGCACAGCCAATAAGCAGGATTAATTATAACCCTCAAAATGGTTAAGTTTTTGCCACCAGTATAAAGGGAGACATTTTTAGTCTGCACATACATGCACTCTGAGCATGCTGTTTGGTTATCAACTTAATATTTTCATTATAATATCCCCAAAATTGGTAATGGACAGTTCCAAAATGGAAGCTGGACAAGTCCATTTAAGAAATTGAGCAGTTTACTGTTAACACTTTAAATTCTTGCAGACTAATAGTTTGCCTTTGCCACACACCAGTACTGAGAAGTCCAAAGCACACATACATGCATGTTGACATGACTACTATTTTATATGGTCACCCCTCAAATGACAATTTAAAGCCAGTTGCTTTGAGTTTACAAATTATCAGATTCATCTCCTAAGTGCATTAACTGGTTAACTCCTATTAAATAAAATAAGGAGGAAATCCATTACTGCACTAAGGTGACAATCTGTGACAAGGAGCAATTAAACAAAGTCAGAATATTTTCATGACCTCAAGCCTCAGTTAAGAAACTCCTAATTAAGGGTATAAATGCTTCAGCCTGACCATGTCTTTGATCAGTCTGAAAACCCAATCTATTTAAAAAGGTTTAGTTTCAGTAATTGCATTTGGTAACACCCCCCTGGAATCCCAGTGTTCTTAATTAATAACAACACTTTCATAGATGTGTCAACAAACATGTGGTGCTATACATTAAGAGTAAATTACTGGTAAAGAAACAACAATTAAATCAAAATATGATTGTGAAATATGGGGGAAAATTAATTAGCACAAAATTTGACCTTTTCTTCTTAAAGTGTTTGCCAAATAGGTGTCATATGACCAATGCAATCATAATGAAGCAAACTTTAGACCTCAGCAATTCAAATTTTGAAGATTTCAATTTCAAAATTGATTAGAATATCTTACTTGCATCTGTTATATCAATTATCATACATCTATAATTATCAATTATCTTTGAGTCTGCTGCTTATAAGCTAAACAGGGAGAGTATCAGATTTGAAATCCAGCTTTGGGTTCCTGGTTCAAACTTCAAGCGAACCAAAATTCTCCTTGGCAACTAATCTCACACAATTTTGAGTCTCAAATGGTAATTTTTATGTTGCCACTATACAAATTTTACCTATTCATTTTTTTTAGCTGCTAATATAACTGATTTCATGTATAATTTCTCTTCTTTCTTTCTATTTCTTTGTTTGATTTTATAGGGATTTTCTTTTCTGCAGTTTTTTTTGCTGTTTTTTTTTTTCGAATCTTTAATGAGTTTTCTGTGATTTTTATGGTAAGGATAACTCTAGACATGGAATATCAACAGCTGAAATGATGCAGAATAAACTTGCATTATGCTGCATTTATAGTCTAGCAGACGTCACTGGCAGACATATTTACTGTCTCCAACTTCATTACAGGACTTCAATGTACATATATTCCACAATCATTTATCACTCACTGTCACACTTAAGTTAATTTAAGTCATATTGCAGATTTTCTACGCTCAAATGCAAATTTAATACAGGACAACAAATTTCTTTGCCACATTTTCCCCAACAATTTTTCTTTGCCACATTTTTCCCAACAATTTGTCAGTTTCTGATTTTCCTTTTTAAATACTATACTATAATGTTGTCAGAAAGTCAGCTTTTGTGACTTTTTGTATCTTCATTTTAAAATGCTTCAAGCGTAAAATCGAATGAAATTCTATCAATAAATATGAAAATTATGGTAAACTATAATTATGCTCTCTTTATCATTATCATCTTTTGTCTTTTTTCAGTGCTATAAGCATGAAATAAAATAAAATTCTATAAATAGATAAGAAAATTGATTTGATGTGAAATATATGCCCTCTTTATCATAATAAAGTTGATGTTATATAAAGAACTTATATCTTACTATAACTATATAAGGGGCTTATGTCTTGATGTATATCTTATCTTTTAATAGAATTTCAAATTCCTGTGAATAAAGATTACACTGAAAAAGCTATTTTTTATTCTAGAATAAATTCCACCATTGTGGAGCCTGCAGG